TTGAATGCTTAACTCTTTTGAATGTTTAAATTGGCAAGGCTTAAAAACATGTGCAACTGATAAGCTTTCGTGACGATGCTCAGCAATGGCCCGTCAACTGTCCTCAGCGTCTTTTTAGGCTGGCCTCAGCCAGTCGGTTGAGATCGCCGGGGGCGCCCCCCCTCAGCCATGGGCCCGTATAATCGTCACCACCTTTCACCCCTCTAGCGACGGCCCTGCTCTGGACTCTCTTATAAGGCGTGGTGAGATTTACCTTTTGCGTGATGAAGTTTCGTGGTCTAAAAGGCGGGACCTGCTGTAAAGCATGTGTGAAACACTTCCCAAATATTTATGCTGCATTTTATATTCTTGAACAGTACTTTCTGCATCTGTCTTAAAAATTCTGTGACGTGGCTGAAAATTGAGTGTTTAACTGTGGAGTAAAGAGGTTCATGGGTTTATGCAGAGACATGCTGTTAATCTACAAAGAATGACACTTGACACATTACCTCTACAATCGATGTGCATAGACTCATGTATGACGTGATAACCTATGATATGAGTTTGGCTTTCAATTTCATGCGGCTTACAGAAAAGACAACAAAACAAAACTCAAGAAAGCAGCAGTTAAAAACACATCTGATTACAGCGATGTGGATGTTGCATGAGTTCTGCAGTTCGATACTCCAGTAAAGTCCAGTCACGTTTATTTATATAGTACTTTATGCCAGTGGTGTTCCGTCTATATAAGCTGCGAATGCGCCGCATACCCAGGCCATCTGAGCGAATGAGTTCATGGGCTAATTAATATAAACATGATTATAAGTTGATCCCTTCTCATTTGACATGTGACTTAAAGCTTAATAAAGTGTTGGGAATAAGCATGTAAAATTATTTATTTGAAAACAACGGTAATTTTCTGTAAATCTACGTCAGCGACAGTTGCTTCCAGGCGAGCGGATTCTCCGCAGCTTTGTCTCCTCCGCTCTGTCGCTATGACTCGTCAGGATTGTAGCGTGTTCTCAGTGTTTTGCTGTCATGTGGCTGATTTCACGCGTGAGGTAAGCTGTCCGTGAAGCGCTCGCCCAAGCGGAAAAATGCGCTGTTGCTGTCAGATCTGGATTGCCGAAAACAAAATTGTTTGTTGCTAAACTAACTTGACTAAATCATATGAAAAAAACATCATAACTGTATATTTTCCGTATACTTGTGTCACTTACAATTAAAGTACTTTTCTGGTTTTATTGTTGTGTGCAATGTTACTTGGCAATATTTTAAAGATATTTTATATATATATATATATTAGGGCTGTGTATCACCAGCAAAGTCACGATACGATACGTATCACGATACAGAGGCCACGATACGATACGTATCACGATACATGACTGCACTGAATTTCACCTCAGCAGAATTTAGAAAAACAGCTGTTTATTAAACACTGCTTACTATAGTGCCATTTCTAACTATTGGCAGAGCAGGCAGTTGACCTCTGCATTATGAAGGACCTCCATAACTGTACCACAGTACAATATAGGTAATGGCATATGTTTCATGTTTACATTGTGCACTCCCCACCAGGTACAATATTCTGATTGTTTGCATCTTGTTTTTAAGCCCATAAATAATAATGTACTTGTTCTAATAAATGTATATTGTAATGTACTCAGTCTAATATATTAAAAAAATAATTTACATTGCTGGTAGGTTATCATTGCACAAATTAACACACTCTCTACAATAAAAAAAAAATTAGAAGAGTTCTAAACTAACGCGCTGTCTTCACTATCTAACGCACACACTCTCAAGGCTGATTTAAGGCTGATTTATATTCGACGCGTCCGCAAGTTCGCTTTGAGTGCGCGCGACGTCGTTTCGCGTGGCGGTGTGCACAACATTTTTTGTAACTTTCCGCGCAGCTCCGCTTCCGAAGATGCACGAGTTCAAAGCGACTCTAGCCGAACATGCACGTCTGTGCCAGCATTTATGTGAAACAGAAGCAGTTTGATGTTAAGAGCAGTCACACACACAGATCACGTTGCGGCCGGACTCAGACATTCAGGAACAAACTTTTTAGCGCTGCCCCGCAGTTTTATCAACTAAATAGCTTAATCGCTCAAGAGCTACATTATCTTTCGCAAAAAGGAGCTGGTAGCATCATTGTTTCTAAAGGAATTAAAGACACAGCATCACTGTTAATAGAGAAACGCGGCAAAACGGTGGTAATTCATACATACACAGCCTCTCTCTCGCTCTCCGTGTCGTAAATGAACAGTTGATGAATTACACTTTTCTGAGAATAGAATATTAAAGTGGAGATCACTAAACTGCAAGCTAACCGCTGTTTTCAGAAAGCAAGCGCGTTTATCCACAGTGGAGCACCTATCGCCACTGCTTTATGCAATATAGAGCCTTAAATCAAGCAGCTTTACAGTATTAAACATAAAAAACCAGAGTCAGTGTCGCTTTCAGTTAGAATTATAACTTGATTTTCTGTTATAAAGCAGCTCTCCGGTGTTGAGCTATCTAATGATAAAATCTTTTTATTAGTTGGGGGGGGGTGTTATTTAATTAAAGTGATAGTTTGGTTTGCAGAGATCAAAGCTTGATCTACCTCAGGACTGTTTTGTTTATCATAACCCTATAAGGTATTTTAAGAGAGATTATATTGTGGATAAAATAGTTTATCACTTACCTTTATTTTGTTTCTTATCCATGGTGAATGAGAGAGTTTCTGTATCTGTCATCTCATTTTGTATGCCAAATATATTTATTTGTATAAATTAATTGTATAATAATTGTGTGTTTCCCACAGACTTGCACTCTATTTGTGGTGGCATATATATGCAAATTCATTCTCTGCCAGCAGGAGGCGCTGTTGGAGTGGGAGAGATTGGAGTTAGAGCTCTGCATTCCCGTGGCGCTCCCGACCAGATTTTTTGCGCCGCGGGATTAAATTCCCGAATAAAACGCGGTAGCGGTCGGTAACTCTGGTGTAATTTGAACGGGAGCTGGCGGTCTAACAATATCCAGTTCCCGACATCCATTTAGAACATCATATCTGCACTTTATTCTTATTGACCACCAGTACAGCCTTCACCTCCGGGTGAGTCACACATGTCATTCACAGTCCCTGAAGTGATTACCTTAATTTATTTGTTAGAATATGTATAACTCAATATTTTAACTAATTGCAAAAGCTGAATAATCAATAAATGTCTACTGATTAATCAGTGAAATAATCGATGATTAGTTGATTAGTCGTTCTAATAATCGTTAGATTAATCGATTATAAAAATAATCGTTTGTTGCAGCCCTAGTTCAGTCGGTGAAAACAAGCGTCGACTAATGCCAGCTGACACCAACAGGGGTAACACACTGATCAGACAGAACCCAATGAACGTGTCTGTGTTTGTCGGTGCAGCGTGAATCGGCCTTTACAATGCCATATGGTCACATGTGTTTCTGACTACCTCCATATGTTGTTTCCGGTTTCAACCTGTATCTGCTGACCACTTCTGATCCAATAACAAAAAAATGCATTTTAGTACCAGGTGTACTCCCAGACTTAAGGGCCTTTCGCACCGCGGGAACCTTTTCATAGTACCAGAACTAATTGTGGAACTTTAATTTCAACATCGTGATAATACCGTATACCGTAATAAAAGCATTAGCAATTAATCGCAACATGAAAATTTGATACCGGCATATCCCTAGACCTAAGTAGACATTGATTGGCCAAACGCGTACGAAAACACCCTCACCCGCCATGATTTAAAACGCCGTGTAAACATACTGTAAACATTGTGTCAACTTATTTCGCAGGTATGGAGAACAGCGATAGATGGACGGACGCTGAAGTGCAGGCACTTGTAGCACTGTCAGTTGTCGTTGGAGATTCTTAGTCCTCCTTTCCGTTCTTTCAATCGCTTTACGTATACGTCGACTTTCCATGTCCATTATTGTGAAACCCGCGAGACACAACAAAAACACAGCTCCGATCACAGCGTCTTCCATCCTCCTGTTGTTAATGTTGTTTTTCTTTGTTTCTGTTGTTGAACGCCGCGCACAAATGACGTCGCTGTCGACCGGCTTACGTCATTTCCTAGTACACACTGTCGGTGCGAATGCAACCCTTTAAATTGTCCTGGGAAATAGTTCGCGCAAAATCGTCCCAGTACTTTAGTACTGTACATTTAGTTCTGGAACTAAAGCGGTGCGAAAGGCCCTTTAAACTACTATATATAATGCTGAATATAATATGTAATAATGCAATGGGGGAATTGAAATTTGTTGGTCTTGAACATGGCAAATGTCAGATTGTACTAGTGAATTAAAATGGGGCTATTATTTTACTGAATAATCATGCACTGCCATTAAAAATTTATTTAAAAAAAAAAAAGTGACAATGCTTTTTAAAATATACAATATTATATAAATATAAACACTTTTTTAATATATGTAATTTGATGAGCATATGTGTCTAACATAATTCTGCTTAACTTATGTTTAACAAGTCAAAACTTCCTATTGACTACATTCATTCATTTTGTGGTGTTGTTTAAAGTATCATATTTTGAAAATAGTATTGTGTACCAAACTGAACCATCGTGACATGATTGTGTTGTTACTCCCCAGGTCATGAATTGCAGACATTCAGACATTTTATTATAGAGTCATTTTTGAGCTTCTGCTCTAATCTGTTGAGTGCAAAGGCCATAGCTACAGTTTGTTTTTAATTTCTTTTTTTTTTTTTTCTTTTTTTATTACTGATAATGTTTCACAAATCTCTCTTTCTTACTGCTAATATTCTACAGTGTTTTGGCTTTTAACATGCAATATGATAGAATGGTATCCGTAGCATCTCTATAGGAATCCATTGTTTTAAATGTATTTAAATTCATTTTAGCACCAAGTATTTGCGTTTAGTGTATTTTTTGTATGGTATAAACCAGTTCGACCACCGCTTCCATAAGCTCTTGTGAATGTTCAAATCACAGACATGTGTTGTGTGTTGACAGGAGGAATGCCAGCTCCGAAGCCAAGCCCAGGCTCACAGGAAGGTGCCATGCCAGCGCTTCACAGCATGGAGTCGGACAGCACTGCAACCAACATCCTGGCTTCTGTCAAAGAACAGGTAAGAACCTTCTTCACACACATTCTTGTTTCTGATAGTCAATGGTAACCAAAACTCACAGAAGCAAGAAAGTCATAAAGGGTTTGGAATGATAAATGAGGGTGAGTAACTGATGAGAGAATTTTAATTTTGGGGTTAACTATCGAAAAGTGCAAAAATTTCTACTAGATTGAAAAGCGTTTACTTAAAGATGTTTGGTGCTAGGGTACTTCCACAGGCAACGTTATTTAGGGATGCGATTTTTCCGTATTTGTACGGTTTTATGTATTTTTCAGACCTGAGAAGTACAGTAGAGCTCAAAATTAGAAAACAACCTGCAATTTCCTAAATTTCAAGGTCACTTCTTAGTCCTATTCGAAGTTATCCTAACAGGAGTAGAAGGGCAGTTTTTTAAGCTTATTTCATAAATTAATTGTATTCAGAAGCACAGAGGAAAAAACCTAAATAAGATATTTGAAAAAAACTCTGATAAAAATTTGAGAACATTTACAGATACCTCCAAGTTATAGGTGTTAATCTGGCACCTGGTGCTAATTTCCTTAATTATATGTCAATGTTATATGTATGCTGGGCCGCTCTAAGGTGACTGAAAGCCTGCGACAGGAGGTTGTCCAGATGAAGGCTTAAAGGGATGACCCTTTCAGCCATTGCAAGAGAAGTTGCTCATTCCAAATCTGTGATTTCTCAAATATTGCAGCTTTACAATGACACTAGTTTAAGTCCCCCCAAAAAGGCTGGTCGTCCACGTAAGATAAATGCACAGAAGAAAGGATAACGCTGAGATTCTCAATGGGGAATCGGTTCAACACTGCAGCTGGAATTGCTTGCCAGTTCAGCACTGAACAGGGTGAAGAGTGGACAAAGATCACACCAGCACAGAGAAACTACTGATGTCCTGTGGCCGCAGATGTGCTGATGTCATTCAAAGCAAGAGCCTCTACACTTCCTACTAACTTCTGACAGCTGTAACCCTCCAATCAAAAAGCTGTGTTTGTAATAAACTAATTCATCATTAAGATTAACTTTAAACTGACTAAAATTGCTTCCAGCTAAAATACAAGTCATATGTCCATAATAATGCTTTCCAGTAAAAAAAAAAAAAAAAGTCTTGTCTGAAAGAGGAGAGAAATATGCACATATTGAGCAACATTTACAAGCAAAAAACTGTCTAAAACCATTCTAAACAAATATGGCTGTGGCTTTTGATGTGAGAGGACAACAGGGACTTTTTCTCTGGAGGAATCATTATTATGGATTATAGACTTGTTTTTTGGCCAGAAGCAACAGTTTAAATGTAAAACATCTTGAAGATGGACTAATTACAAATGCACAGCTTTGTTCTTTTTCTTTTTTTCTTTTTATTATTTGTGGATTATTGTGATGTTTTATCAGCTCTTTAAGATAGATAGATTTGTTGGATAGATTATTTGTCCTCAGAGAGGAATTTCTTTTTCCCAGTGGGTGTGTAGCAAAAACACAACAGCACAAGTCATTTGATCACAGTAGAACAATCACAAGACAACCAAGGGGAAAAAAAACACCTTTTTTCAGTTTGGCATGAGCCAAGAAGGTACTAGCATAAATAAGTGCAAATTTGGCCTGGTGGTAGCGCTAGAGAGTTTGAGTTAGAGACTCCAAATTTGCTATGTTTAATGTTGAGACTGTCCTCTATCTGTGTGTTAAATGTCATAACTTTCCTGCAAGCAGTTCTATGGGCTGCCATACACTCATGAAGAGAAAAAAAAAGAAAATGAAAAAGAAGAGATATATTAGGTGCTTTGCCCCTAATAATAATAATAATAGTAATAATAATAATAAAAAAAAACCTGATCACACTAATCTTAGTTGATCACATGCCTGCTTATTAATTTTGTAAATTTTGTATAAGTATGTTAAAACCACTTATTTGAAAAAACAGGCTTTATAAAACACTTTACCCCAATAATTCTATTTTACTATGTGCCATAAGCACTTTTCTTGATTATTGATTGAATTGTTTCATTTTTATGTTTTTCTAAGTAGTAATATACAAAATGGCACAAGCGAATTGGACCAAATTTCACATATTGTGTATTCTACAATGTGTAGTTATTTCAGGATGCACAAGACTGTCTACTGTAGCGTCTGGACCCCTCAAACACACAATATATATTTTGTTTTTATATTTAACAAATACTCTGTACCCCCCCTCAGTTAACGAAATGGCCGCCGAGTTGACAGACATGTAATCTGACCAATTGCAGTTCACAAGCGAACACAGATCTCTATAACATCAGACGCGCTTGGCTGTGCGCTCTTATGTTATGAAGAGCGCCTGTTTTTCAGACGCGCGTCTATTTCGCAACCTGGACAAAACGCTATATATCTCACCGATGGAAGCACGCAGAAACGTGAAAATGGTCTTGTTTGAAAGAAGAGATCCTAATCTAAAAGATAATGTAGAGTATATAGATATTTGTGGCTGTTTGCGGCTGACTGAAGCAGTGCTACGAGTATAAATGTAAATTCGCTCAGAGGTGATTCATCGCGATTCTATTGAATATCATTCGATCTGTGATTGTCACATAATGAAATAATCTACATCGTCAAATTCCTGAGAATGAGAGCTTTCTTGTGATATATGACTTGACTTTTTTGTGAAAAATATATCAAATACACATTCTTCGTAAAAAAATGTCGCAATGGTTAGGCGGAAATTCGTGTGTGGGACGAATACATTTCTAAGCTTAATTTTACTGCGTTATGAATATAAAAACCAAAAGGAATGGTATTCTTTGTAAAGAAGACACTCCGAGCTTTCAAATGAACCCATATATGGGCTGATACCATATAAGGAAGGCTATGTAAATGAAGCATAAACATTTTTAACGCGATTTTGGCAGAGTTTAACTTAACCCGGGTTTTACAGTGTACAGAGTGAAATTACAAAACCTGACTCCCCAAATAAGAATATTGTGAAACATGGAACAAGATAAGCAAGGGTTATTTTATACCAGGGTTAAAAAAGACACTAGGTGATCTAAGTGTGAAAAGCTGAGAGAAAAGTCATACTCCATTCCCGTTCTCCCTCTTTATGGCGCAAAGCCAAATCCTATTGTTGACTAGTGTCAACAGGAAATTTGTCTCCAATTCCAATTCTATTGGAGAATACCTGGCCAATGTCATTTCCTTTTCCTTTAAAAGGAATTTCCTGGAAACTTTCACTCGTTTTGTTGAAATACTCACCCAAAGTAAAAGTAAAGGAGAGGAGAGAACAAGAGAAGCTTGTTTAATTGAGCAGCGTTTAGTCAGTTTAGCCCTCAGACTGTTAACCACCCCTCTAGCAGTTTAACCAAGGAAGAAGTGAGAAAGAGAGCGAGGGACGTCAGACCGGGAGGTTTTCCTGTGACTGTAGCGCAGAGCCGACTGTTGTAAAAAGGCTGGGATGAGTGATGTCACAGTGAGTTTACTGGTGTCTTGCTCTCTACTAGTTTTTCATGCTTTTCTTGTCATGCTTTCTCATGGTTTTGCCCTGAGGTTTTGGAAGAAATTTTGTTTGATCACTTAAATCAGTGCTGTTGCAGAATGTGATTATATGTGTGTTAGTTTAGCGTACGAGTTGTGATATTAGTATTGGTGTGTGTGTTAGGGGTGTAACGGTACACAGAAGTCACAGTTCGGTACATACATTCGGTACATACATTGTACATTCCTGCTCATCTTAATATTTATTAAGTCTACAGTATACTGTCCTGCGCATTTTATTTTATTCTTATTTTTTTATCTTACTTTTTCCATACCTATATTTATATATAATTTTGTGTTTGTATTCTTTAATAATTGCACTGTCCATGGAGCGGACCTGACTTACACTTCACTGCTGGTCATATATTCTCTATATAACCATGTATGTGACAAATAAAAATCTTGAACATACCTCAGTTTCGGGGTCACGGTTCGATACATGTTCGGTACAACAGGAAATTATTTTTTTCATTCATTTTGAACAGACAGTAGTGCTACACACACATGTAGCATGAACAGTTGTTTTGATTTGAATTAGATTGTATAATTTCAAGCAAAATCAGAATGGTCTGACTTTAGATTTGTGAAATTATGCTACATAAGACACCTGCACAAAACAAAAACAGCAGACAGTCTGAATGAAAATGCAAATGTATTTTCTGACAGCAGGTGGCGCTTAAGGAACAGCAGCGATATAGAGTTTCCTTGGTTAGTGCTGTAAACAAAGCAGCGCTGCGCTTATAAACACTACTTTAATATGCATTATATGGAGGTAAGAGGAAAAGAAAATGCCATTTCTGAAGACGGTCAGTTCCTCTCAGAGATACATAACCCCCCACATATTTGTCTTCCTATATTTCGAGCATCGTGATCTGCCTGGTACAGTATTTTCTCCTCTTTACAGACTTCATAAAAATTCCACACAAATTACATTTTGATTTCAATGCAGTTTGTGTGCAATTCTGGAACAGAGATCAGCCAAAATAAAAACCAGTTCAGATTTATAGCCGGTCAACCGAAACTTTCCCACACTTCTGATTTAAAACAAGCAGGCGGTTCTTCGAGCTCTTGCATGCCATCTGAACTCTCTGTTCTTGTTTTGGGTTGGTGCGTAGATTGTCTCTTCTTCTGCTCTTTCCTGTTGTGACCGTTCCTGAATCTGCATTGATCGCACTGACTGTATTCATCTGACATCTGGCATGAACCGAACCGTGACATCCGTACGTTACGGTTCGGGGCGAATACATGTACCGTTACACCCCTAGTGTGTGCGTGTGTGTGTGTTTGCCACGGTTTTGTATATGTGTTCTTGTTTCGTGGCCTTGGGGGGGGCCAACCATACCTTCGGTAGATACACACCATTGTGTTGTTTTGTTCACTGCGTTTGCACTTTTAAATTGTATGCTTTGCAACCAGGTGATTGTCTCTCAAAAAAGTTTTTTTTTTTTTTAAAAGGTATCTTGTGTCAGTGTGTGTATGTGCTGCCTGTGTCATTTTGATACATTGATAGAGAACTCTGCCTCTCAGCTCTTGGGTAACACATTTAAGGCAGTGGTTTGCAATCCTGGTCCTGGGGACACACCACTCTGCATGTAGAGTGCTGCAGCCGTGACATAAAACCTATGGAGAAATATATTTTGAACCATAATCCCAAACTACTACAACTGAATTCAAAATGATGAAACATATTCATTTCTGTCACTTCTTTATACAAGGCATCACAACTAAATATGAGGGAAAGTGTGAAAGTTGTGTGATTAACAACGTTCACTATGCTTTGTGCTCTCTGATGTCTCTATATAGATATAGCTATATATATATATATAAATCTTAATAGATAGATGCGCATATACATATATATCTATATTATATATGTATTTCCACCATGTTTCAAACAGACATGTACCCGGATGACCTACTACTTCCACTGAGATTCTGAAGTGCACATCCAGTTGATACTTTACTATCCCATGAGGCCACAGGAGAGGAGTTATGAATGGCAGTGAAGTAACGCAAATGATGCCATGAGTCACATGACAACGACAACATTTATATTTATGCCTTTAGCGCACACTTTTATCCAAAGTGACTTGCAAAAGATTTCTCTTCTTTTTGAAAGATGTGATGGGCTCAGCTTTTTGAGTGGAAGTTGGCAGCTCATTCCACCAGAGAGGAACAGAGAGGGTGAAGGTTTTGGAGATTTACGTTTTGCCTTGTTGTGAAGGAGCAGCAAGGCACTGCTCATTCAGTGACCTGAGCTGGCGGGAGGGAGCGTACATTTGTACTAGTGGATTGAGGTAGGAGGTGCTGTTCCAGGCAGAGTCCAGAAAGCCAGCATCAAAACCTTACATTTGATTTTGTGGCCGGTGGAGTGAGAGCAGGAGGGGTTTAACATGGACTCTCTTTGGCTAGTTTAGTTTTTCCTAATGTTGTAAAACATAAACCTACATGACCGGACCGAGCTCAGTTGGTCATCACCTTGCTGTCCTTGTTGGCCTGACATGGCATTGCAGGTGTACGTCTGGATTTCATTCATACACCATTCATACTATATAGAATGTACTTTTCTAACAGTTGAGAATTATGTACTCACTAGTTTGAACGATCAATCAAATGTAGTACCTACTTAGTCAGTGTGTGATTTTTAGATGCAGCTAATGTGTCAGAGAAGAGATGGATGCTGTATAGAGATTACAAGTGCCCAAACCTTGCAGTTTGTTGACATATCTTTGTTTTCCTTCTGTTGAGAAGGGATCTGAATATTCATGGCTTGAAACAGATGGAAAATTGAGAGGCATGTGCTGCAGTTCTGTGGATGTTTTGCCCTCCAGGTCTCCATGCTAGTCACGTGACTGAAAGCTCTAAATAGGTGACAGTATGATTCCTGCTCATTTGATCCTTGCTGTAAGGGTTTTTTTTTTTTTTTAAAGCAGCAGTGAAACTAGACGTTAGCAGCCTTGTCTGAACTAATGTGGACTTGTAAGAGGAATCATCGACGCAATAAATGACAAGGATCAAACTTTAGCTCTTTGATGTTAGTTACCTTTTGAACTACATCTTCTTTCATCACAAGACCTTAACGTTAGATACATAAAAAGGAGGTACCTGTTAGTGAATAGTCTGTTTGAATATCCTGAAATATATGCAGTCCACTACCATTAAATATGTTACGAAGTAAATAAATACATCTTTTGAGGAAGAAAGAAAAAAAAGTTTGTAGGGCCCTATTAGGGTAATGTAGCACTGCCAGTTGTCGTTGGAGATTCTTAGTCCTCCTTTCCGTTCTTTCAATCGCTTTACGTATACGTCGACTTAGTACACACTCTCGGTGCGAATGCAACCCTTTAAATGGTACTGGGAAATAGTTCGTGCAAAATCGTCCCAGTACTTTAGTACTGTACATTTAGTTCTGGAACTAAAGCGGTGCAAAAGGTCCTATTGTTCAAAATGTAGAAATTGAGACTTTTGGACTTATTTTTTCACTGAATTGTTTTTGAATTCAGGTACTGGTACCGTACTGGTTAAAATGTGAACAGTATCCAACCCTCACCACGGAAGTGTAAGAACAGTTCCCCAAACCCGAAATCCGACTTTAAAATGAAATTTTGACCGAGACCATCTACGTGAAAAATGGCGCCTGCTCAAGCACTGTTTTCGCGCCGATAATCGACTGAGCTTCTTGTTCCCACAAAGCGTAATTAAAAAATGCGGAAAAACACCTGTAAAAACCAAATACGGAAAATTCCTTCAAAGTATTATGGTATATTGTACTGTATTTTTACAGACTTTTTTTTACAGTGTAGGCTGATAGTAATCTGTTATTAAAAGGAAAATGGACTATGCGACTGTTCATTTTTGTTTATCAAAAAAAAAAATCACATTTAACTAATATTCCTAAACACAATTTCAGGAAGAGTGAAACCATTTAATCTGTCAATTAACTGCCAGAGCACATAAGCAGTTCTCACCTTGCCCTGGCATCAGCTGTCTGGCATTCCCTCAATCTCCTCAACTCCTCCAACATAATTTAGGTATCTTGCCATTCATACTTATGTTCTAAGCACTACTAGTATCTCGAGTTGAAGTCACTTCCTCAAGCCCCTACTGTGAACAGCAATTGGAGATGACACTTGGTCACTTCTGTCGCATTAACTATGTGAAGCCACAAAAAAAAAAAAACACTCATGGACGTGATTCGGATATGTTAAAGGGTCAAAAATGCAAAGTAACACTTGGTACCTTCATGGTCAAAAATGAACAACGTAAGAAATGAATGGGATGTACAAAAAATACGGAAAACAAATTAATAGAAAAAATATCTCATAAAAATATCTCATAAATATATCTATAAATTTTTTTTATAAATAGTGTAGTATCATAAAATCCCCCTAAAATTCTAAATGACAATCAAAAAATATTATTGAACAAAAATATATGAGATGAGCAGATGAGATTCGGCACGGAGTTGATGTTCTTCATGGAGCTTGCTGGCTAGCCTAATCAGTCAGTTGAAATAGATTAGAATGGTTGTGATTGTTTATTGTAACTTCACTGTCTGTATTCCTACCTTTCGGAAACAGCTTGTGGTGCAGATATGGTAATCTGGTCTGCTCTCTTAGCCCATTGATAGACACACACACACACACACACACACACACACGTATGGACAGAGAGGGTGTAGTGGTTTGTTGTTCAGGTGTCGCTTTATGGCTGTGCTGTGTGTGCTCTTTGAAGGGTTACTACATTGTCATTTATCAGATGTTTGATTATCCAAAATACTGGACATCTGCTACAGTCAGAGGCCCACTGAAATGCAGGGTCTGTTTAAAAAGATTGCTGACAGGGTTTGAGTTGAGTGGATCAGGTCTGCTAATTTTCTTTTTGGGGACAGTGGGAGTGTAAAGCTCTGATGTCAACAGATTGTTCTCTAGAGTGCTGCTCTCTCTGTGTGTTGAGAATTTATAGTTGTCACCTTTTAGAGCAGTGCATTACCCCTCCTCAGTGCTGCAGGACAGAGAACTTACTAACTGTAAGGTATATAGCACTATAGGGTGCGTGTATGTGACATGATTACTTTCAGTGTTTGTTGAGGGCATTTTAAAGCATTTTTTATGTTTTATGTTACATGCAGTGCGTGTGTTTACTGCTGGCCTTCATTTAGAGTCTCAATCACGATACTGATCTTCATCAGAGACAGAGACTGAGTGTGTGTATTGTGTTTAGGAGCTGCAGTTTGAGCGTTTGACTCGGGAATTGGAGGTGGAGCGACAGATTGTGGCCAATCAGCTGGAACGATGCCGACTGAGTTCAGAATCCCCAGGAGCTGCTAGTGGCGGGTACACTCTCTCACACACACACACACACACACTCACGCACGCCCACTCTCACACACACTCTCTCTCTCTCTCTCTCTCTCTCTCTCTCTCTCTCTCTCTCTCTCTCTCTCTCTCTCTCTCTCTCTCTCTCTCTCTCTCTCTCTCTCTCTCTCTCTCTCTCTCTCTCTCTCTCTCTCTCACACTCACACTCACAACACGACTGCGGCATTACCCCGCTGACCAACTGATAGTGTGCTTTTACATAACTATTTTTTTCCATTTAGTATACTGAAAAAAGTGGAAGAAGAGAGTAGAAATTAAAAAATGTGGCCACAGCAATACAGGGCCAGCTTTCCACCAATACATAATCATCATGCCAAAAGAATAGCAACGTAAAAGTTTTTAATACATTTTTAATAAAATAAAATAACTTGAATATTAATGAAAATATCTAAAATACTCAAAATAAAATAATCTATATTTTTATTATATATATTCATATCTGTAATTTTTTATTGAACAACATACAGTTCTTGAATCCTCTAGAATCACATAATGAATCATGATTAATTTATTTAATATCAACGCTCCTAGTTTCTGTTAATAAAGAAAAGTTTGAAAACAAGCAACTTTGTCGTAATTAGAACAGAAATACAAGAAATAATAAAATAATGTGTTAAAATAATGTGTGCTCTTATCATTTTGTGGACAAAATCCCCCGAATTTCACCCCGATCGGGAGCTGTATGTAGGATATGAGCGCCCATCTGTTTTCAGTGCAGCTAACCTCGTGTCGCTTCATGTCATGTCATCGTATTCAATTACCATCTTTTTACAGTAGCTCACCTGTCATAGTTTAATGAGTGGGTACTGTAAAAAGATGGTCACTGTAAAGTGTTTTTAAAACCGTTTTCATAGTTATAGTTTAACGTTATATTATCGGCTCGGAAAATCCGTTAATTTGACTAGAAACACCAGAAATCAACATTTGTTTTTAATCACACTCTCTTTTTCTTGTGCACAATTTGCTACCAAAACAATACTACAACACCGTAATCTAAGGAGAAAAATAATATTTTCCGTGCTTCTTCTCCCTCATAAAAACCTACTGATAGTGAAGAGTCCGTAATCTAACAGCAATTTGCGAAGTATTGCAGAGTACTACTAAATACTAAATATTAAATTAAAAACCCAACAATTTGGAGAGTGGAGTGGAAAGTAAGGAAAGTGGATTTCGAATCTGCCCTTTCCACCAAATTGTGTATAATTCTCTGATTTTGATATTAGACTTTATCTTTAGATATTCTAAAACAGTCTAAACCAGAGGTGTCCAATCCGGTTTTTGGAGGGCCACTAATAGATCAATATTAATAAATGTTGTCTGTAAACACCAAAATGAGCATAACACATAAGCATCTTAAGATAAGTGAACTTTCATTATTCCAAGGTCTGCATTTATCCGTTCCTAAATGAAGCAGCCATAAGGTTTAAATGATGTTCAGTGTATAAAAAGTTGTGTATATGATATGCAAGGAGTGAATAATAAAGTATATAAACAAAGCCAGCATTAGAATGTGTTGTGTCAATAGCAACAGCAGCTATGAGGATACAGCAAAGCATTTCTTTCATGACAACATGTTGTAAAACAAGTGAAAACAGGCACCTTATGGTAGAGAAAGCTAACAAGATTCATGCAATGTGAATCTGTTTGTTCACGTAGTGGCAATTAAAGGGTAAAAAAAAAATGTTTATATCTTAACAGAGATATACAGGTTCCACATCCCTGAGAAAAATGTTAACAATTGTTTATTAATAAGGGGAAATTGTATGTTTTATTACTGTGCTGTATTGTGCAAGGCATAATGTACATCCAGCCTTCGGGTGATACAAGACCCCTTCACTTCCCGTTGTGGTCCTGATCACCCTGTCTGGGTTTATTCTGCAATAGCAACCAGCTGGGTGTACGTTATTATGCTTATTACACAGCTGCTTCCCACTAGGGGTGTAACAGTACACAAAAATGATGGACTGGTAGTACATACCTCGCTTTTGAAGTCACTGTTTGCTTGGTTGGTTGTACAATTTTTGGTAAAGCGGGGAGGGAATATTAAACAAGAAACTGCTTATGTTTTTCTTTTTTGTTAAACAGTGGATTACTGAACAAATTGTGGCTCTGTCTTTAAAAAAAATCTATTAGAATTAAACATTTCTTAAGGATTAAAAAAATCTATGCTAATGCTGTAACTATATAGGGAACCCTATTACTTGCAAATTACTATAATATTAAAGGTTACAATTAATAACAGAATCAGAGCTATTAAATTAAGGTATAAAATAATAAATAATTAATTAATTAAGGTATCACTAACAGGTTAAGTAAAATATAATGAATATGTAGGCTAATTGCAATGTGGGAAGCATGACAACGGAGTTGAGGATCCAAATGTGAGCTTTATTCAAAAGAGTGGTCAAAACGGGCAGGGTCAAAAACCAGCAAACAGGTACAATCCAGGGCAAACGAGTAATCTACAAAACGGGCAAGGGTCAGGGCAGGCAGCAAACAATCAAAAACCAGATACACAGTCCAGGGATATAAACACAGGCAAGGCAAAAATGAGAAAACACAGGAACCAGGAAACGCTACAGGCTAGCAATACTCAGCAATGTGTGTGTGGATAAGTGCAACCTTTATAGTCCTCCTAATATGTGACAGCTGTGAGCTGATGATGAGTCCAGGCAAAGGATTATGGGAAATGGAGTCCAGGAAACAGGCAGCTTCTTTGGCCGTAACAGGACAGGCAGAGATTTCACTTACGGCCTCCTTGGCCGTGACATGACAATCAGAGGGATCACAGGCAGCCTTTTTGACGCGGCTGGACCGGCAGAGAGTTCAAAGGACAGACGCCGCCGCCTCAGGAGGTTCTGCAGCAGAAGCCGCCACCTCGGGAGGTGTTGGAGCAGACGCATGCACTGGAGCGTATTCAAGGGCTGGAGTCGGCTAAGGAGGAGTAACAGAGCAGTGAGTAGCCCAAACACACAGGACTCCTTGGCCGTGACATGACAATCAGAGGGATCACAGGCAGCCTTTTTGACGCGGCTGGACCGGCAGAGAGTTCAAAGGACAGACGCCGCCGCCTCAGGAGGTTCTGCAGCAGAAGCCGCCACCTCGGGAGGTGTTGGAGCAGACGCATGCACTGGAGCGTATTCAAGGGCTGGAGTCGGCTAAGGAGGAGTAACAGAGCAGTGAGTAGCCCAAACACACAGGATGGCGACCGCCATTACAGGGAGCACTGAGCCTAGGGCAACAGTCTCTGTGATGACTCGTTCTGAGGCCCTTGGGATGTCTGCTGCTTGCACCGACATCAGCGGTGGATCCTCCACACTGGATGCCAGTCTCGGACACCTTGGGACTGACCTTAAGGCACTGGGCATGGTCGACATGACGTGAAGAGACTCTGGAATGGCGGCCATCTTGAGCAGAGACTCTGGGCTGACAGCCATCTTGGGAAGAGACTCTGGAGTGGGAGATACTGCAGGAGTTCTGTGTTGTTCCTCCACAACACCCACAGTAAATGCAGAGCCACTCAGTTGCAGTGCCAGATCTATGTAAAACTCCAGTGTCCAGTGAGGATCATGCAAAGGCATAAGTGAGCTGAGCGGTTCAGATAGCCCCCCACGAAAAAATATCATCAGGCATTCCTCGTCTATACTAGTCAAGTGTACCAGCTCAACAAATTCCCTCACGTAGTCCTCGATGGGCCGATCTCCCTGACGGAGGCATATAATTTGTGCTGCTGGATTCATATTTTTGCTGGTCGTTAAATAAAGCTGCTGGATCCGGGTGTGGCAGAGTATTCTGTAACATGGGGAGCGTGACAACGGAGTTGAGGATCCAAATGCGAGCTTTATTCAAAAGAGTGATCAAAACAGGCAGGGTCAAAAACCAGCAAACGGGTACAATCCAGGGCGAGACAAAAGAGTAATCCACAAAACAGGCAAGGGTCAGGGCAGGCAGCAAACAATCAAAAGCCAGATACACAGTCCAGGGATAAAAACACAGGCAAGGCAAAAACGAGAAAACACAGGAACTTGTGGGCACTCCAGCTATATTGGTGTATTATACAGCTATAAATACTCCTATAGCGTTCATTTCTCTAGTGAGCTGTGGCGCCTGTCACACCACATCAAAGCAGGGCCGTAGCCACAAGGGTGGATCAGAGTGGCAGCTACAACACTAGAATAGAGGTAGAATTACAGTTACATTTTTTTAAATTTTAAATAGCATTCATTAAATAAATCAAGGAAACAAATGTTTGATCAAAATGCTGTAACAACTGTAACCTTGTCGTTATATTTTTATTACTTTGTTGTAAGAGAACTACCAGTAACTTTCTAAGAATGATTGACACAAACTTGTTCATCTGTATAACCATCTCAGTATTATAAGGTATCTGCAATTAAAATTGTAAGTAAATGCAATTTAAAGCCCTAAAAACTCACTTGAAAAAACATTGTTTAAATACAGTCTGGCGCTTCTGACTCACAGCCTGTAAGTAAGTTTTTTTTTAGATTTAAAGAATTTGCCACAGATGATTCCAACGCGAGTTTGAGCAGTGTAGAGTAGCGCTTATTGTTTGTCATTTCTCCGATCACAAATGCAGACATGGTTTTATGTTTACGCGGCGCAATACGCAACGCAAAGCGTAAAAACAGTGTAAGTCCTTACAATCAATAATTATGTCCCCACTGGATGCAACAAATGCCTCGTTTGTAATGGGTTTTATTGGTTTTGTCTCGTCGCGCCGGACACATGGAAACCATAGACTGTATGATGGAAACAGTATGGTAAGGGGAGTAACATTTCTGAGAAACAGTAATGTACATTATGTGGAAAATAATGTGTTTTTTGAACCTTAAACCGCATAAACGCATTGCATTACACCAAATACACAAAATAATGTTCTTTTTAGCAGCATCATATGATCCCTTTAAATAAATGTGATTGCACACATAATATGCATGAAGTAAAAATGCAACTGTTGCATCACTCTTGTCATTGTAATTGAACAATGAAGTACTTGAGTTAATTGAGTAATATTTTTGCAAACAGTATGTTGTCAATACCTGCAGAGAGCTATGAATTATGTTAACAAAACACATAAAATAATGATACACTGCATTACACTCTTGCAGTGATGTGTAAATGGATTTTCCAATGTAAATTGTTTTTCATATTTTATTGTGAATTTTTTGTTCTCACAATAATTGCAGTTAACAAATTTTCAGATTCTGCCAGAGAATGATGGTTATTCAATGTTAAACATATTATGTAATCTGTAAGCCTAGGCATATTTAAAGATAGATTCAAGACCATTGCGAAGCTGAAGTGGCCAAGAACAGTCTCATTTGGCCCAGTTACTGTGTGTTGAGCTACAGTATGTTGTTCCATGTGCCACCTGGTGGATGTTGAGTGAAGCACAATAAATTTAGTTACATTCTTAGAAGCAAACACAACTTTTTTTTTGGCCAGATTTTGTTTGTTAGCACCAGACATCAGATTTTGGGCAGTCTACGTTTCACAGAGAATTACATAGTTTATAATTATAAAAACTGCTAAAATAAATAAACTTCTCTCAAAAGCTGAAATAGTAATATACTATTTCAACATTTCCAGATTTTCCTATTAAATGTTTTCCTATTAAAACATAAGAGCTTGTACTATCACAAGCCCAGAAACTTCTTATGCAGAACAGATGTTATGCAAGTTCATTTATTAGGGAACCACAATCACAGACATTACAGTCGATAGTTTTAGTTTTAGAAGCAGAAAATAGCACAATCAGCCTTGCGAATGAACACTGACTTGCTGTATTGCACTTTTCTTTGAACAGAATATCGCACTGGGGATGGCTAAACTCCAAGCTTACCAGTGTTTTCAGATAACCCGCACTATTTTTCCACAGTGGAGACGAATTGTATGCATGGTTTCTAGGTTGGGGAAAATGTATAACACTAAGCAGAAAATTCCCCTATTGTGGAAGTGTGAAGCTCTGGGGCCAGTTTCATAGTCACTATGTTAAGACTGTCTTAAGAACTATTTCTACCAACTAGCAGTTAGCCAAGGGGTAACCAGTCTTACTTTTCCATTCAAATTAGAGCAGTCAGCCTTTTTGTAACCGATTTAAAAAAGTTATGACCAGTCTGGTAGAAAAAAAATTACATGACTAACTTTAAGACTAGTCTAAGGAGTTTATGCAACCGGCCCCTGATTGGGGATCACATGTCTTGATATCAGGCCTATATTATTTATCGGTAATTCATTTATTCAGTAATTTCAGAAATCTTGACTTCAATTCCATTTTAAATGTTGTTTTTGTATTTAAATTATGTGTGGTCCAACAGTCTGCGCATATGCTGCAGAATAAGTCAAACTGTTTAGATTCATATCAGCAAGGAGTATGTGACCGTATCAATATATGGCACACAGCCCTATGATTAGACCTAACTGTCCCTGTGTGAGGGGATTTTTACTTTTGACCAGCAGAAATCTTTCACTTTTCTATTACGTTTTAAATGCTGTTTTTGTATTCAGATTAGGCCACTAGTCTGCACACTTGCTGCAGAATTGATGCAGACACTGCTGTGAAGGTACTTGTTACGGCAAGGAGTATGTGACAAATATATACATTGAATATAGGCCTAGAGCAGACCTAACCGTCCCTAACTGTGGGGGTGTTTATACTTTTGACCAGCACTGCTCCCTGTGCTTTGGTGGATTTACACATACTGTACATATCTCAGGGTGGAGTGATAATGCGAAACACACTCAAAATTGAGTAGGTGAAGTGTCTCTCACTCCTCCGCAGTATGCTGGTTTAGATGCACTGCTCAGTTATTGATATGATTAATTTTGTTGTTACATTATGACTTGTTAAATGTCATTTACTCATCCTCATGTTACACTAAATTTGTATGACTTTCTACCATCGAAGGATGGTAAATGACTGTCATATGAACATTTTGAAAACAATATTAAAAAGTCATGTGAAAGCTTTGACTGACAAACAGACACAGATTTTGTTATTCTCCTCCAGCTTGGCTCTCAAATCCCATTCCACAGCTTTGGCAGTGATTTTATGTGACAGAAACATTAACTTATTTTCTGTTTGTTCCTTTTTTAGCTCCTCTGAGATGTCTCTTCCCTGGAGATCTGCAGGTGTGGAATCATTGAGTGAATGAATAAACCCAGTTTTAACCAAGGGGGATCCCCAATGTGATTTAATCATGAATTAATTGATGACAGCTTTTATACCTCAGTAAAGAGCAGAGCAGTACAGTTCTATTTATACAGCAGGCTTTGCCAAAAATATGGTTGAGAGTCCTGAAAAATTGTGGTCGTCACTCCCTTAAATAAACAAAAACACACACATGATTAGCCTGGATCGCCTTCAACCCTGAAAACCAAAACATACTGGAACTGCACAAAGTATAATTTGTCATTTTATTCAAAATAGCAAATTAAGATATTCTCTGTCTTCAAACATGCAGTTCTTAGTTTTAATCAAATTCCCAAATAATTATTTGTAGGTTGATTTGTGACTGTATGTAATTGAGTGTATGTAGTGCCATGACTATTTAATAACTCATGCTGTACATACACATAGCTTAGCTTTTCACTGCCAAATTTTAGATCCTCTCCTTATGTACGAAGCATTGTCACGTCACAACAAACTCTGTGTGAAGCGAAGCAGTCCAGTGAATGGTTTTATTTCACCTCTAGAGGACGATGTTACACCGCTAAACCAAATACTTGCAACTGTAAGCAGGGATTAAAGTTCCGTTGCTATGACGGACTTCTGTCAGTTCATAAAGATAGTCACTTGCTTCATTCCTGAATGATTCAGTCGTTCGAACGAATCAATTGAATCAATGATTCAGTGATAAAATCAGTGACTTGCCGCCACCTGCTGGCGGATTTAGTTTTATTTTTTAGCTTATTATTTCAGTTATTTGAATCATATTTCTGTATTTAAAATGTTATATTTAAAACATTAATCTTCACATGAATTTATGAATTTAATTGCACTCATGCCACCTTTGAGCCTCATTAAACGTCTGAAAATGTACCTACAAGCCACTTTTGTGTTCTTCTGTGCCACCTCTGTAGTACAAATTAATTTATTAATACTAATTTCATATGATTGGTAACTTATTTGTCTTATTCTACATATAGTTTTAAATAGAAATTTTAAAAAGATTATAAACATAAATTTTTGAATTTGACAGATGAAAATGATGCCATTACAAAGGTAAAAAGAAAATACTCCTGTAAGTCACTTTAAGCAGTCAAATGTCACCTTGTATTAGGAAAGCAAATTTTTGATCAGAATTTTTGATTATTGATCAGAAGGTGCTCCTACATTTTTAAATTAGGAGAACAAGCGCTCCTAATTACAAGAAGAAAAAAAACTGCTCTTAAACTGGGTGTGTGACAGGTATGGCTGAGGAATGGGGTTTGGTCGAAGAAAAATTTCCAGTTAAAAGATTTTTTTTTTTTGTTTAACCCCTGCAATATAATAAGAAGTAGAATAAGACAAATAAGTTACCAATCATATGAAATTAGTATTAATAAATTAATTTGTACTACAGAGGTGGCACAGAAGAACACAAAAGTGGCTTGTAGGTACATTTTCAGATGTTTAATGAAGCTCAGAGGTGGCATGATTGCAATTAAATTCATAAATTCATGTGGAGATTAATGTTTTAAATATAACATTTAGAAAACAGAAATATGATTCAAATAACTGAAATTATAAGCTAAAAATGAAACTAAATCCGCCAGCAGGTGGCGGCAAGTCACTGATTTTATCACTGAATCATTGATTCAATTGATTTGTTCGAACGGCTGAATCATTCAGGAATGAAGCAAGTGACGTCTGTATGAACTGACGGAAATCCGTCATAGCGACGGAACTTTAATCCCTGTGTAAGTAGAACAGTGCTGGTGCATGGTGGATCACAGAGGAATCAAAAACTCCCAGACTATCACAGCTGATTTTTAAACAATAGTCCCACAAAGCATCGGTGGCAGTTAAAAAAGTTACATTGGATTGACTTCTAATTGAAAATGAATGATTTTTTTCATCAAATCATGCAAATCAGTCAGTTTAATTGAAGAATACCAAGACAAATTTTTTTTTTTTTTTTTTTTTTGCTTTGGATTAACTGTTCACTAGCAATGTGCACTAACAAAGTAAATGGTGTCAATTTTGATTTTATGCAGACTTGACTGTAAAATTTGTTTTCTTTTGAGGCTTTTTATTTTGATATTCGTTCCAGTTTACCTGAGGAGTTAAGATAACATTTTCCATATGCTGAAGTAGACATTCATTGGTAGACAATAGAAGAAGCTGGTGACCAGTTTTGTACTGTGACCCAAGGCCAACACAGTATTTGTAACAATGTAGCCTGCTACAACTAGACAGCATATTAACAGTGCAGTGTTTCCCCTGCCATTATTTTAAGGGGGCGGCCCGCCCCCCCAACGGCACCCCCCGCCCCCCTTGAAGG